AAAAAAAAAATCAGTCCCTAAAACCAATAAAAAGCACACACTAGACAAAAGGAATATTTCTGTTTTACATATCGTATGCGTTTCCGCTCAAATAGTATCTCAAATATTATTTAGCATCAGCCACACATTTTCAATGTTTACACAAGTTTCTTCCAATATGCAAGTATATGGACAATAACTGAACATTCTTACGTGTAAAAAAAACAGCTCAAGTTTATATCTTAATAATACCACTGATGAGTTTCTTAAACTGCCTTAAATTATCACCATTCCAAGATGAAGATGAATAGAGTGGTTAAAAATCATATAACAAATAGTATAAATTGCATCGTCTATAAGAACTAACATCAGGATTTATGAGATTTCCACAGTAGACATGGAGCAATGTTTTCAAATCTTCAGTTAAAAAGTTATCAAAACCTGATCCCCTGAAGTCGACCATCGGGTCCCATGCAGCCCAAATAAAGGTGGACGTGAACCAAGAGAAAACTCTTGTAACTCAATCTTTTCCTACAGAAGAAAGTACCATAACATAACAATACTATCTCTTGATAATTCAGCAGTTAATTGCATGCAGTAATGGCTAAAAATCAAGAAACCTGACTTACTATTAGCTTTGATTTCCTATGCTTCAAGCGTCTCTGCATGATTATTAGACGTGAATAAGTAACAAAACAATACCAGCTTATTGCATTGAACATTTCATACTAGGACAAACTATTTGAAATTTTAATAAAGATGATATAATTTGAGAGGAGAATAAGTACAACCTTAAAACTAAGATGATATGACAATGGTGAGTGAAATACACATCGGAAATAGGTTGGAGTAAATGAAAATTAACTCAATATCAAATAAGTCGAAGTAAATGAATAACATTTTTTTAAATCTAGAATGTCAAACATGTTGAAATGAGATTGTAGTCAACCTTATTAAGAACGAACATGAATAATATCAAAATAAAATAAATAGTAGACCAATTTCTATGAACCAAATCATTTACATTACCTTCGCAATTGTTGGATTCTTATGCTACATATAAGTGTTCGGGCTTTTTCTTTACACTTCATATGTTGAAGTACCAAATTGTAAAAAGGGAAAAGATATAATGATTACCTCAACAATAGATGCAAACCTTAATGAGAGCTTTGGGTTGATATAGTTCAACCAAATTTCATATAGTAGCTTGTTCAGCCATTCACAATGCTCTAAAGGTGTTACCGGCTGCATAAATATTTGAAGGGAGAAAACTGTGATATAAAAATGGCAGGTTAACAAATAAATACTTGCATACACACACAAATTCATAACAAGATACGCATAAACATATTCTTGAATTAAAGAAAAAAAGACGGAGAAGGAGAAAAGGATAGTAACCGAGTTCTGTAGTGTTAATTGCATCCATTTCTTATTCAAGTCTTCCACTACATTTCGTCTCTGATAACTTCCATACTGGCAAAGAGAAGTGCAGGTCAGTAAATGTTAAGGGCATCTAAATCCTAAACCAGCTAGTGAATATTTTGCACAAACCAATGAACCAAAATATGTGAGCATATCAAAACTTGAACAAGACCTGAATAACAGTGTTACATGGAGATGAAATTGTAAGGCAGAGTTATGTTTCTATGAAATATCTATATCGCCAGCCTGTTTAACCAAATTATGCAAATCAGAGTTGATTAAATCTTGAGGACAACACAAAAAAGGCATCCGAAACTTCATGGGCAAGTATTTTAAGAATATTCAAGGCGATCTAATCCTAATTTTCAGACATTTGGAATTTGTCAGACCATATTTTCAATATTGCAAACTGCAATTCAAGCATGCCGAGCAATTTGAATTTTACTCTCACAGTAGCTCCAGAGTATCATGTACCATACTTCTTCACCTGTTTCACAATTTCACATAAATATTTACAATTTAATCACTCAAAACTCACTGAGTTTAAGTCCAACTACAAAATACATAAATCTGCAAAGGACGAAATAAGTGATTGAACTAAAAATTACATCAATAATTTGAAAAAGAAAAGGGAAAAGGACTTCCAAACTAACCTGAAATGTGGCCCATACAGCAAGAGCAAGAAGTACCCAATTGGACAGAGAGAAAAACCATTTCTCAAATACCCAAAGAACTACCAACATAGGAATTACTAAGGGAAGCAAAGGTTGCTGCTCTAACAACTTGTACAATGATTCCAAAGCTTCATTCAAGTCAAACAATTTCTTCTTTGTTCTGCCCATCTCCTTAATTTTCTTTTTTATTTTTAAAAATCAACTTTGTCAAAAGATCATGAAGCTCAAGGGTTGCAAACTAAATTTTACAGTGGCAGAACCGACGATCCTACTTCACTTTAAACTCATTCACAAGGCAATCATAATATACCTAGAAAAAACGTGAATCGTAAAGGACAATAGATATTTGGTTGCACTCAGAACACAAAACGTGTATTCTGTGTACGTGTGTGTTTTTTGACTGGCTGCTGAATAAGAGGAAAAAGTTTTCCAAACAGTTCATCTTCTTCTTTTATTTTTGTTTCTCTAATTAACAAGTAAAAACTAAAAACTTAAAAGTAAAAAGTAAAAATGAAGGATATTTGTTTGCGTTGGTGATATGGAAAGTCAAGGTCTGGCCCAGCCTGTTGACCATTCGACCCGGGCTCATTCACCATGGTTCTAGGTTAAATTTGGAAATCGTATTACGGTTGCTGATTTTGGTTCAAGCCTCCAAAGCATTTTGACCAGCTTTTGAGCCCAATCCAAAATTAGTACCCGTCAGTTTTGGTGCCATAATTTTTTGAATTCAAAAATTCAAATTTTGGATTCTGTTTGGCTGTCCGATCTTGAACTAATGGATTAAACTCGGGTATAAATTAATATCACCCGTTGATAGTGTAGGTATATCTTTTGCAATGATCAACGATAAAGTATCGTTTGACCCATTGGATTGACGGATCGACATAATTTTCTTTGATTTTTTTAAAAAAGAAAAAACACTTGGACCACTCTAGTCGATCTGAAACCGACGTTCTTAAATTGGAAACCGTCATACCTCAAATCGAAACGGTTCTTTATTTTTATGGCCCGTCAACCCGTNAAAAACAAAAAGAAGAAGAAGAAGGAGAGAATATAAATCAAAGTTTGTTATGTTAAGAAAATGCAGCTGAATAAAGAAAAGAAGGAAAAACAAAAGGCAAACTCATAGGAAAAAATATTGGGTAGAAATTTAGATTAATAATTCGGTATAAATAGAATAAATAATGGCTTTATTGAGCTTTAGGTGGATAGTTAAATGAATGGGAAAATTTGACAAGTCGATTGAATTAGTAATTTTACTAGTGAATAATGAATTGGATTAACCAATATATAAAGTGAGGTAAATAATGAGATATATGATATTTCAAATTATTTCAAAAACTTGTATATTGAACTTTATCAAAATTAGTTTTCAAGATATTATAAATTTCTACTTAACAAACAATAAAATTAAAAATCTTCACGTCTCAAATCTCTAATTTTCCCTAAAACACTACTCACCAAAGAAGATTAGAGATGATTTTGTCATGACTGCTATTGAAGGGTATATTCATTTGGAATGTTTAAAGACTTTTTAAAATTTAGAATACTGGATTAGAGTTTTTAATAAGACTTTTGAGGACTTTTAAAAGACTTGAGATACTCATTTGAGATTTTAAAAAGTCTTACAAAATCCTGTTTTAAAATCCCGAGTTATTTGTATATTCAATTAGGATTTTAAGTGACATTTTGAAACTTTTTAAGATTTGAGACTTTTTTAAAAATTTTAGATTTTGGAAGAATTGTGTGAAATCTCAAGTATGAAGGTGGAATTTGAAGTAAGATTTCGTATAAGGTTTTTTCTTTAAAAATCCCACAAAAAATCTTAAAAAGTCTTAACAAATTATAGTCTCAAATAAGTTAAATATCTCAAGATTTCGTAAGACTTTTTAAAATCTCAATTGAATATCCCAAGATATTTGAAAGTCTTAAAAAGTCTTAACAAATCTAAATTGAATACACACAGGATTTCTAAAGTCTTAAAACTCTTTAGAAATTACAATTGGATTAGTTTATTTTAGACTATGATTTGTTAAGTGGGGTGTCTTGAGATTTATGAGGACTTTTTAAGACTTAAGAAATTCAGGTGTATTCAATTTATATTTGTTAAGACTTTTTAAAACTCAATCTTGGGGTATTCAGTTGAGATTTTAAAAAATACAAAATCCTGAGGTATTTAATTTATTTACCGTTATATTTGTTAAGACTTTTAAGATTTGGTGAGATTTCTAAACAAAAAAACCTTATACGAAATCCATATCAAATCCTACCTCCAAACTTAAGATTTCACATAATTCCTCCAAAATCTGAAAATTTTGAAAAGTCTTAAAATGTCACTTAAAATCCCAATTGAATACACACGAATTTTCACTCAAAATCTAACCTCTAAACTTAAGATTTTACAAAATTCCTCTAAAATTTAAAAATATCAAATCTCAAAAAGACTCAAAATGTCACTCAAAATCCTAAATGAATATGTGTATTCAATTGAGATTTCAAGTGACATTTTGAGACTTTTTAAGATTTGGGATTTGTTAAGATTTCCAGATTTTGAAGAAATCTCGTAAAATCGTAAGTTTGGAGGTGAAATTTGAAGTAGGATTTCGTATAAGGTTTTTTGTTTAAAAATCCCACCAAATCCTAAAAAGTCTTAACAAATCCTAGTGTCAAATAAGTTAAATACTTCAGGATTTTGTAAAACTTTGTAAAATTCCAATTAAATACCTAGAATTTTTAAAAATTTTAACAAATCTAAATTGAATACACTAGGATTTCTAAGATCTTAAAAAGTCTTTAAAAATTCTAATTAAATACACCCTTAGTCTAGTCCCTCAATTCCTTGAACAATTTTTTTTTTTATTAATATCATGACTCATGAGTGTTACTTCTAGTCTAGTCCCCTCGTTTCCTTGAAAAAAAAAAATTATAGTTTTTCATTTTTATCGTCCATCAAGAAAAACTATAAATTAAACAAAATTCTTGTTTCTAGACTTTTGTTTGTGTCAAGTAAAATATTATCCGTCTAATTAATGCAGATTCCAATGCACAACGTAACTTATACATGTAAGCTACATTTATCTATAGTTCAATAAATATTTTTTTGACTAATACTCTAAATAAATATATACTTGAAAAACATTACCAAATTTAATCTACACATGCAAATAAATCTTATGCATATTTCAATAGCAAGTGTACTCTGAAAAAATAATGTCAGGCCAATATGAGAAATATATATAATAGCATGTCACAGTACAAGTGGAAAACGAAAGGTTATATTATTAGTTTTCTTAGATATTATATGTGGTTCATAAATTTTATATTTTCATAACTATTTAAAAATAATTAATTTGCTAAGAAAAAAACTATCATTTGCTATATCTCCTGATAGAACACATAATTACAAGCGGCTAACTAGCCGAGAGAACCAGCTACACAGCTGGATTCTAATTGGAGAACTACACCACTTGTAGCCTAAAGACCACAACACAACACAAACACAACACACAAAAACTAAAACTAAAAATATTCCCATAATTGGCGAATTACGGCTCCCAACAGGAGAATAAGAACACAAAACACACAATAAAACACAAGAAAAATACAAACCACACAACAAAACCTAAAAACTAGACTAAAACCATCTCCACCAACAAAAAAAGGACCTGAACCACCACCACACGAGCCCGGACCCAAAACGAACAACCAAAAGGGAAGCACCTAGACCATGAAGGCACGACACAAGATCCAGAAACTACCCAACGGCTAATTAGATCCGGGCCAATGGGTTCGAAACCTTCCCAATAGTTCTTCAACGAAACAACCCCGAGAGACCCGTGCCACAACCCTCTCCACGCAAACACCGGAAGATGCAAAACCAAAGCACTGCACCTGCCGGAGGGATCTGCCTCCCAAACCCATAGAAAGGACGAAAAAAGGGGATGACCAAGGCTCGGACCTCAACACCGACCTCCATCCAACGGCGATCGACGCTGCAAAACTCCAGCAGATCTTCGGACTCCCACACTGTTAGTGTTATATACTGAAAGCTTCGCTTTGTATGTTATTACACATTTACCCTTTATGAATGAGAATCATGTTAGATTAAACAAGTTCTACGTTCTGTTGTTCTGCACTTAGATAGAGTGGGTCGTCATCGGGCGAACCGAAGATCACTCTATCAGTCACTTGCGAACAAGAATAGTTGTTCACAATCTAGATGGACATGAACACCCCCATCCGAACGGTTGTAGTGTCAACTGTACAGTTTGTCTTGACTGATTAGTTGCACTAGTACATTTATGTATTGAACAGGATCCCAGAGAGGAGAAGTTCATTTTATACTGATCGTCGTAAATGAACTAGGCCTCGGTTAATTACTGTGTTCTCTTAACCCAAAAGATATTAAACAGGCAAATATATATAATATATATTACTTTGATTCACATGGGTGAGGTTCAGTTCGTTGGATTAATATTTCTACTGTTTTGGGTAATATTATTATATATAGGATGTGCTGTTAGGATATTTACAGTCACCGTGTGCATTAGTTTGATGATGTCCCCGGAGTGAGTTCATGAAGGATTGTTATGCTTGGATTAAGTTCCGGCATAATAAGAATGTGATGAACGAGCGCTAGCTTCGGTGAAATAATAATAAATTAATTAATTCTTGATTGTCAGTAATCGAATTAATTAATGGACATTATATCTTAAACGTGGGGAGGTAAATCAAGTAATTATTATTGGAGTCTCAAATGTAATTTGGGCTAGGAAGAGGGTATACAATAATATGATGTTGGTGGCCCATTAATATTATTTAATTAATTAGAGGAGTGGGCTTGGCCCGCAGTTAGTCTAATTAATTAAGGAGCCCTTTTCCTAATCTCCTAAGGGTCCCTACTGTAGCTCTATATATACATCATTAAGCTCATTAGAAGATAACAGAATTGCTAGAACTCGTTCCTCTCTCTCTCTCTCTCTCTCTCTCTCTCTCTCTAGATCTCATTCGAGCTTTATCTTCTTCTTGTTGCTCCACTGGTACAAGTTGAAGAAGGGTGTATTGAGTAATACAGTTGAAGATCTGTAGGTAAACCGAGACGAAATATATTTTAACCTACAGAACTAACCGGAAGTCCGATTGAGCCGTACAGAATACCCAGACGACCGTCTCGACGAGAGCTTTCCATCGCCACCGAGATCGCCGCATTCCGACGTCTCACGCGCCCTCACGCGCCGTCGGAAGCTCCCAGGCTGCAAGTTTCGTTTTGACCTGTTTGCATCCGTTTGATCCGATTTTGATCTGATCTTGTTCGTGCAACCCAAGACGTGATTTGCGGTCAATCAATTGCGGTCAACCGTTCGTGGTCAACCAGATCTACATACATTTTAAGCCGTAAGTTCTTTACGTCAAACCTTTAGATCCGCTGCGCGTAGGTTTATGTTTGCTATTGAATTCGT